TCTCTCTCTCTCTCTCTCTCTCTCTCTCTCTCTCTCTCTCTCTCTCTCTCTCTCTCAACTGCCAGACAGAGGTGATGGGGGCAAAAACTCTGTTCTTGCCTATATCACCTCTCTTTCCATCCTCTCTCTTTCCTCTCTCTTCTTTCTCTCAGTCTCCTATATTCCCTCTTTCTCTTCCTATACTCCATCTTGTCTCTCTCACTCTCCCCCCTCCACCTTCTCAATTCCCTTCTTTCCTCCTTTTTTTACTTCTGCAATCCTCGTCCCACTACCCTCTATTCCATCTCACTCCTCTATCCCTCTCTCCCTCTCCCTCATAGACTTTCAAAACTTTCCTAATCCTCTCCATCACTTTCACCATCTCCTCTTGCCCCCTTCCTCCACTCCCCTTCAAATCTCTTCCTTTCTTCTCTATCTCATATAACTCTACATCTCTCCATACTTCCCGTCCTCCGTCCTTCTCCTCTCCTAACCATCCCTCTCAACTCCAAGATTACTGGGTGATCTGAGTCAATTTCTTTCTTCACCTCCATCCTTATCACCTCTCCTAGTACCTCCCCTCCTCCCAAGATGTAATCAATTACCAACTCCCCATTTCCTCCCGTATATGTAAACTCACCCTTTTCATCCCCAGTCACATTCCCATTCATTATCACAAATCTTCTTTCCTCAATCGCTTGCAATAACTTTCTGACTTCCCCATTCACCTTCTTATCCTTCGATCTCCTCTATCCTCCTTCCTCCTTCCTTCCTCCATCTTCACTCCATCCTTTTCTCTCTCCCGTTCTTGCATTAAAATCCCCTCCTATAAACACCCTCCTTCTTTCTTCTCTATTTTCCATCCAATCCTCCAGCCTTTCTAGCTTCCTCTCTATATCTTCATTTATGTACACTCCTATCTATGATCACCCACTTACATCCTTCCTTGATAATTTCCCCTTTTACCTTTCCTTCCATCTCCTCCTCCTCTTTCTCTAGCTCTATCTCACCTAAGTCCCTTCTCACTCTCACTAACATCTCCCCTATCGCCCTCCCCTTTCTGTTTCTCCTCATCGCCAACTGCACTTTCCATCTATACTCCTTCGGAAACCTTCCCTTCAATCTTTCCCAGCCCCTTCTCTCTACCCACATTTCCATCATTACTACCACCTCCCATTTCTTTACTCTTTCCCAGAATTCCTTGTTCTTGTTCCCCAACCCCGCCACATTCCAAAACGCTACTCTTCATCCTTTGTCTTTCCTTTTTTCTCCTCTCCTTTCCTCCTTCCTCTAATCTGATTCCCCCGATACCTCATCCCTCTCACCCTCCTCATCTCTCAATCTTAGCCTCTCCTCATTCTCTTTCTAACTCCACCACTTCCTGTCTATCTATATTCTCCCGTATCTTACCCAAACCTTCCTCCCCTTTTCTCTCTCACTTCTAGCAATCTTCTCCAATTTTCATTTCACCTTCCTCTCCTTCCACGTTAAATCATCTCTTATCTACATCCCTCTTCTTTCCCATTCTCTCTTCCTCCTCATTATTTCCTTCTTCACCTCCAGCTTCTCCATCCTAATTCTTACCCATCCCCCTCTCTCTCCTCTCTTCATTTTCCACACATCCCTTATCTGCCCTTCTATCCCCATTCCCCTCATTATTTCTTTTATCTTCCTCTCTAGTTCCCTCTCTCTCAGCTTCCCTCCTCTTTACCTCTCCACTCCTTCCTCTCTATCCTAACATCTCCTGCCTTCCAACTTCGTCCTCACTTTCCTATTCCTTCACTGCTTCTTCCCTGCCACTCATACACTCCCACACTCCTTTCGCTATCCTTCTCCCCTTCTCACTCACACCACTCCTTAACATCAAGCCTTTCTCTGTCTTTCTCTCACACTCTCTCTACACCTTTACTTTGCCAAATCACCTATCACACACCGGAAACGGAAGTCGCTTGGGTTTTTGTATACGTTAAAGTCTAGGAGGTTAGGCGTTTTGTTGGAATCAGTCGACCAATAAGTAGGTTCGCCACCGGAGAGACATTCCAAATTGTCAGATATAATTATACAAAAATTGTACAATTATCGTGTACCCTTACGAAAAAAAACACCCAATTTTTGGTATAAAAATATCCTCGAAAAAACTCTCAAATATTTAGTGTAAATTCGAATCGTCAATTAACGATTAACATTGAAATGAAGGTTAATCTTAAACAAAAACCTCAAATAAGTGTAAACACTAAACGGGAAAATATATCTTGCAGAAACAATTGCAACTAATCAGCTTATGTTGACTTTAAGTGAAATTTAGCTCTTTTATTTGATTCCTCACTATTTTCACACCTGAAAATTTACTCAGTACTGGTCGGTCGCGAACTCGAGATCTCAGACACCTCCAGGTTTCTAATGTCCCAGTAAGCTAAATATCATTATTACAACGTTAATATCATTATTACAACGATATTCAGTAACATGTAACGTTTTCAAGTATGTCGTATACAATAAATATTGTTATAACTACTTTGCATATATGAACACTACATTGCATATCTAGTGATTTTATTTTCTGATAATTACATAGAACTAGGAAAATATAGTTTTTAAAAGCTTATTTAATAAACATACAAAAGTAAAAATTTTGGGAAAGGTTCAATAAAATTTCCAAAACCGTGCCAAAAGTGATCGCATTAATACTTTTAATCTTTAGAATATGTTATACGAGTAATATTAAAAAAAATAGGCACGCAACAAGTGTTTTGTGTGTGCCTGTGAAAGGACCCCGCACAAACCTTATTGAAAATGGGTCCCGGTGGATTTGGCTGAAACTTTGGAAATTTGTAGTTTACGTGATCCTGATGAAAAGTTCTCATTGCCTCAACTTGATTCATTTAGCCGTATGAGGAGTCCTAGGAACCGTCGAAAGTAGGAAATAAGCGACTGCCATCGCCACTGTATAGGTAACCATCTGGTAATTCCTATCCCTTCCCTACCCTCTTCCCATTTCTCTTTCTCTCTTCCCCTCTCCCTTCCCCTCTCTTTCTCCTCTCTCTTCTTCTTTAATTAGTTTCCGTTATTTTATGTTAGCTTGCTTTCATTTACATTACTTTGCGTGATTTGTCCAAATACCTTTTCTTGCGATGAAGGAGTGAGGATTTAACGTTATATCAGATCCAATTGGATCATCCGGATTACAAGAATCTGAATGTCACTTTAAAAGGTTTTACCGTCGACATTAGTGTTACCCAATGTGCACCACGAGGAGGTTGCGCGATCGGAATTTTGCACATTATGTGACCCTGAAAAGGGCCGTTTGTGTGAAGGTGTATGTGTGTGTGTGTGTTGCGTGTGTGCGTGTGCACATTGGGTAACGCTAATGTCGACGGTAAAACCTTT